AATAAAGCAGTACCCAAATCGCATACATTTCTACTACAGAAAATATGAATACTGGATGAAGTCATGTCCAAAATCTTTGTTTTAGTTTTATATGTATTAGTCAAAGGTTTTTACAAAGTCGATTTTGGTAATCCTTTTTTTTTTACTCTATAATTCAGAAATCTTCAGAATGCAAATATCAACCAAAAGCTGCAATTTTATTAACAGCCGTTATAAATGTGTTGTAATTTAAATTTACACAACTTGATCAACTGCTATAGATACTTATAATGTGTGTTTTGGATGTTTTCTGTCCATTAATTGATTAAAGAAAATGCACAAAATGTTGAAACGAACAGGTGCAGGATAATACAATATCGCTTGCCTTGTCTTGCCTTTAAAGTATGATTTACATAATTATATGTAAATAATAATAAATATTATAACATTTAAAAAAAAATAGCTAATTAAGATTTTTATTTGTGAACGAATGTAACACAATATGCTGGCAGTGGGTAAATAATAAAGTATAACAAACTGTCACTAGTCCAGCTGTTTCTGCATCTGTTTGTGGGTAGACATAAGCAACATCTGGTTTATGTTTTAAGTGAGAATGAATAATAAAAAAGAGAATCGATTCTGGAGTAACTTATAGCAAAATTGTGTGATTTACTCAGACATTTATAAGCAACACATTTATGAAAGTCTGCTGTTTTTTTTTTTTCTTTGCTCGCTTCAGTTTTTTCTAACACAGCCTGTAATTGGGAAGACATGCCTCTGAAACATCTTTGTACACGTGTTTACAATTATCTTTTGTCAGCTCTGGGGAATAAGCCTAGCATAATCATGCGAGCAAATTCAAGTGTGATAGAGCATCATGTGGTCAAAATCAACCAACTTGTTGATCGCACGCACTTGGACTCACAGATGTCAAAGGGTGCAAGCGAGAAAAAAAAGAAAAGTACCCAGAAAGTAATTGCAGATGAAGAACTGAAACAAACAGCCCTGAAGGGAGGTGGGCTGTATTGATGTCCACTTTCCATTCCTTTTACTATACAGAACAAGAGCGCTAAACAAGCCTTTTCCGTCCCCGCAAGCATTTTAAGGGGCTCTCGAGCAAACGGGTCACTGACAAAATGCAATGAGACAATGCTATTCCCCCAAGACAAGGAAAATTGTCCTCTTTTCCCCTACAATCTTGATGAAGTAAATGAAAAGGAGCAGATTCCATTGTGTAACCTTCCAAAGTATGAGAGCTCAGCTAAAGTGCAGTTTTGGCTAGAATTGCGGTCAAAAACACTAACAAAAGAAACGATTTTTTTTCTTTCTTCCACTTTGGTTCCTCCCTTTCATTCTCTTTCAATTCATTTGTAGTTTCACAGGCTTAAGAGAATATTATGCATCATTTTCGGTTTTATAGACTATTATACAAGTGGACTAGAACATGGGACTGAATAGATAGACTTAAAATATATCTGCGCAAGATGACATCCATTCTTTTGGCTTTTATGTCGACTAAAAAAAAAAAAAAAACATTTAGCATTTCTGTTAAGAGGAAAAAGAGAAAGCTTCAAGAGCAAATTGGAGATGAATCATACTGGTAATCCAAGGTAGTTTCGGTTCCTGTGATTTCGTATGGAAATGTGGATGAAATTGCAGAACTATAAAAACTGCATTAGCTTTATCACTTGCTGTCACAGAATTTGAACATTTTTGGAGGTATAAATCTAAAGTTGTCTGTAGTGTCTGTGACTATTAAATCATAAAAAAGATCTAAAATATACAGTTGAAGTCAGAACTATTAGCCCCTCTTTGAACAGGGTTTCTGCAGGTATCTTTAAGTCAAAGTTTTGAGATGGATTATTGGTGATTAGTTATCTTTACTTAAACATAGGAAAATTAAGACCTGTTTAACATGATTTAAGACTTACAACAAAATATTCAAGTGAATATAAGACTTTTTAAGGCCTAAAATTTTGTTTTTGAAATTTAAGACATTTTATGACGTTGCAGACATCCTGTTTGAATTTTTTTTTCTTTTTAAAATATTTCCCAAATGATGTTTAACACAGCAAGGAAATTTTCACAGTATGTCTGATAGTATTTTTGTCTTCTGGAGAAAGTCTTATTTTGGCTTTTAATTATTAGCCCCGCTTAAGCTATATTTGTTTTCGATTGTCTAAAGAAAAAAACATTGTCATTTAATAACTTGCCCAATTACCTGCCTAGTAAACCTAATGAACCTAGTTAAGCCTTTAAATGTCACTTTAAGCTGTATAGAAGTGTCTTGAAAAAAAAAACTAGTAAATTATTATGTACTGTCATCATGGCAAAGATAAAATAAATCAGTTATTAGAAATTAGTTATTAAAACTATAATATTTAGAAATGTGTTGAAAAAAATAATCTCTCCATTAAACAAAAATTGGGGAAAAAATAAACAGGGGGGCTAATAATTCTGACTTCAACTGTACATGTATAAAGCTACTTTTTTATATTGTATACATTTTATACTTTATTTTATATTGTATAATATATATGTATAAAACTGCTAAACTGTTAAAAATAGGACATTTTGAGAGTCAATTTATTGTTTGTTTGTTTTTTTACATGAGAAATGCTTGACCAGAGCTGCCCAAACTAGGGGCATGGTAACCATTCATTTGGCCCACCATCCCATCTGAGAGGAGAGGGAGAGTGATGGGGATGGTTTCGAGATTGTCAATTCAAGTTTAAATGCAATAATTTTTGTTTTTTTATTGTTAAAAGCTGACTAATTATATGTTTCAATTAAATGGTATAAATCAATCAGATTTAGTTCAAATGTAAATACTGCAACCCGACAATCCAGAAACTTTGGAGAGCAAATCAAGTCAAAGGCAGATTCTGCTTAACTAGCGTACTTAGCATTGATCTCATCTATGATATAAATGTGATTATGTTTTTATTGCAACGAGTTAGCATTTAAAAAATCATACTGCATTAGTTAAAACAATTTAAAGTAAGGTTATTATTTATTTTAAAAATATATTAAATTAGCAAAATTAGCCATGGCAACTTTAATGTAATATACTGTAGCGTGCTATATTTACCTTTGGCTCACGGCTCTCAGTGATATTTGGTTTTTGGCCTTTCATACAAAAAAGTTTTGGCACCCCTGCTTTTAACATATTATGTGCATGAGGTCCAAAGCTCAGTTTAACTTGGAAAAAAATGTCAGAAATATAATATTGTATATAACATAGTAATAAATACTAACTCAACTACATAGTTATTTTTGAGAAAAATCACAGAATTGTTCTACTGTGTTTCATTGCACTAAGGTTTCTAAAAATATTTTTTAGTAAACTGTTTATATATATATATATATATATATATATATATATATATATATATATATATATATATATATATTTTTTTTTTTTTAAATAATCATATACCTGACTTTTGTTTACTAAAATTAATTTTATCATTTAAAAATAGAGGCTACAAAATAAAGAAAAACAAAACTGAATTTTGCTTTTATATGGTCCTAATTGTTATGTAGGAAATAATTCACAACCAACTGTTGAATTATAAGAAAGAATCGCCACTCTGCTTTACATCACAGCCACATCACCACCTTGGATGTGCAGTATTTTCTAATTCAACAGATGAATAACCCATGTCAATTATTGTACTTTTACTATGATTACTACAGCTAAAAGACACTGTCCAAATGTTGTAATTTAGGGTATTTGTCAAGTATCTGTTCCCAAACTGCTGTGTATAGCATTTAAAGGTCTTATGAAGTGCTTTGAAATAAATATTTTTATTTGATGTTTGACGTAATCTCAATTGAACGATGAGAGGGTGGGACATTAGTGAGCGTGATTGAGCACAAGTGCATCAAATGAAAAGCAACTGAGAAGAGTCTTGAAGGGACAGGGCATGTCAGTTACTAGAGAGCATTTGATTGGTTATGATGTGATAAGAAACTGTAGTACGACTTGACATTGAATAAAACCATTGGTCAATTTGGGTGCAAGTGACAAACCACAAGCTTTACATGTTTTGTCAGTTTTATATCTTCTAAATGCAAATGTTGTCACTGTTTTGGGGCACACTAGCTTATAAGTATCTGAAAAATGAACAATACTGATGCTTACATCTAAAAAACATTATTTTAATTTCATGGGACTTTAAACCTCTGCTCCAATGCTTTATGTTACATATTGATTTAAAAATTGGACTAATGCAAGGCTGTGAAACAACAGACATCAATCAGCACAGTTATACATAACTGTAATGCAGTCAAGACCTGTCTGGGACAACTTTAGCTGTGCGTTTATCTGAGAATAACTGCATGCCTTAAAATGTTCATCAACCAATCAGAATCAAGCATTCCTGTAGTATAAATTCATATAATGAATACTATAAAACAGCCATTTCCCAAAATACAGCCAGAATTGCTTCAACAAGCTCAATGTCAGATTCAAACATCTCACTTAAACACACTAAAAGATCACAAGCATGTGCAAAATAAGTTCAGCTGCAACCCATGTATGAATAGTTAATATCTGGGCTGAAACCCACAGTGAATCAAATAATGTTAACTGATACCAGATAATGTGAATGGAGTCCAAACTATACAACGCTCTGAAAGCAAAACCTGGGCTTAACTGCAACCATCAAACACAAACAGAAGCAGAACCTCAGAATAGCCTGTGCACTTTGATCTCTACACTAGAGAAAGAAACAAGCTCATAAACATGTCCAGCCTTTGAAGCTTATGATACTGCGCAGCTAAATCTCCACCTTCTATGCCGTTCAACCTTCCCCGCCTTAAAGCAAACAAGCTCATGTTTGCAGAGAGCATCTTTACAAGACACAGTAAATTCTGTTTGCTTTCCTTCACCAATCAGCTCCTACCACCCAACGGCATTTGAGTCGCTGATGTTTCCCATTATGAGAGAACACGTTTGCTGTTGTTACATCCCTTCACAAAATATTTTTCTTTTCTTTTTTTTGTTTTTTGTGAATCGGACTGGCTATAAGCTATTTTGGTTTTTGAGTTGTGACATCAGAGTTCAAACACTTTTATCAATGGCCACTAGAGGGGGCGCGTTTTCATTTAGAATAGTATGAATGGAGAGTAAATCACTTTGAATGGATGGATAACTATCTTTGTTGTATGCAAGAGCTGAATGTTTGATTAAATGTTTGATTGTATGTCAAAGACATTTAAAAATGTATTCTAAACAGATACAAGAATTAATGGCACTGTAAGCAAATAGTTTTCATCACATATGTCATTATGCACATACCTTTATTTTAATATCACTCCAAACCTTTGTGATGTTCCTTACTCTGTGGAACACAAAAGAAAACACTGAAGAAAACACACAAACATTTGTTTATTCATACAATTAAAGTCATCAGTGTCCAAAGGCCTTTATGAAAACTGACCAAGGTATTAAAAAAAAAAAAAGAGTAGTAGTATGTTTTTGTTGGTTTTGGCACAGCGGTTTGCATTTGTATAATTATGTTTTTTTTTTCTCCCCAGCAAAATACAACTGTTAAAATAAAGTAACTATGGTACATTTGTGGTTATAAATTGTACTACTTTTTTGTAATAACCATGGTTGATTTTCATCAGTGGTTGTTCCTGTAGGGCCGCAGCCCTGCACAGTTCCAACCCAGCTTCAATACACTTACCTGGAGGTTTAAAACAAACCTGAAGGACTCAATTAGTTTGATCAGGTGTGTTTAATTACAGTTAAAGCTAAACTGTGCAGAGCTGTGGGCCTCCAGGAACCGAGTTAGGCACCTGTGCCATAGACTTTCAAAAATAATTACATTTTTTAAATATTACCGATTTGCCTGCCTAAACACTACCAGTAAAAAGCACAAAACTATGTGTTTTTTTCTGTTTTGCAATGCAGCTATAGTGAAATTTTCTCATTGCTTTATCGTGGTAAAAGTGTACAAACTATGGTGCACTGATTTCCATTAGTATAACCACGTCTCTGAATATTGTTAAACTATATGATTAAAGTAGTAAAAACCATGGGGAATTTGTGTTCACCATGATTGAACTGCATGACCATATTGTTTTTTTGTTAGTTGTAGTAAAACCATGGGTAATTTTCATAAAGGGCTTATCTGATCTCCATTAACTTTCACAAATTGGCATACTGTACCACATTTTACTCATAAAACAGCTAAACATCACCTACAAGCCAGTTATAGCCTAGGTAACTGTAAAGTTAACTTGTAGTCTGTTTTGCAAGAGAAGTTCACCTACCTTATGACTAGACTGGATGAGGTCGAGCATTTTAGACCAGCTATAAATCAGGTTATCTTTGCAGCAGTCCATAATTTTCAGATCAATCGACGTTTAAGGTAATTTCTTGACTGAAAGCTTCCAAATTTGGCAGCAATATCACTCAGCAAATTGTGAACTCAAAGTTTTAAAGACTTGTAATATGTAAACGTGTTAATATACTTTGTTTTGCTAATAAAAGTGCTCGAGGCCTCGAGAGTTATCCAACATTGCTCCAAGATTGGTGGTCATCGAACGGATTTTCCCGCCAAACAGTTTCAACCGTGTATATATAGGCTAGCTACTTAATATGTCAAATAAAACCATTCTTTTGAATTTTGACACCAGTTGGGACATTTCCAGCCTCCTAACCCCCTTCATAATTTGCGCCCTTTTTAAAGCTATATCTCCAATTTGGTGACCCATGCCTGCCATTCACAGTGATGAGAGAAGCTGCACGCATCATTTAATGACAGGAATTGTAGTCTGGACACTTTATAAACCTCGAGCTTTTCTCGTTTTGGTTATTACAACATCCAAACGACTAAACGGATATTATTATTATTAAAAGAAATCATATTCCTCCGCACGCCTCATCAATCTTATCGACATCACCGCACAATATATAACTAAAAAGGCGGAGATGTCACTCAACCGTGCCCGTAAAGGTGGGCGGACTGGAGTGTCCCCCCCACCTCTGCCAATGGCAAAGCAAGACCCGAAATCCCTAAAATGAGCCGTCAGCCCGCGGCGGGGAGCACACTCTGAATTAGCCCGCACCGCGCACGAGATGACGGATCGAGTCTCCGCGGCCGCAGCTCACGCACGGAGCAGCCGAGCAGCAGCGTAACCTCACGGCAAACAAACTTCAGAAGTTCGCTTTTCTCCACGCGCTCTCTTCAATGTCACCATGCGCAGCATCTCATCCTGCGGTGCGCTGCTGTCAGTCTACTACCCACAGATCTTCCTCATCCTCACCAGCGGCAGCTACCTGTAGGTTTGAGCGAATGCTTTCTATATTATTTCACATTTGCCAGGCAGCAGCCGGCGACGATTCGGTTTGAGGTTTATCGTCATTGCATTGAAAATTCGGATAGTAATCTGGATGTGCGTGGATGCTAGGAGTGCAAACGAATCATCCTTTCCACGTTTGTGCATTTGGCATTGTTTAGTGCACCTGCTGTGTTGCACGAACAGACTGAGCATGTGCTTGTGCTTTAATTGCATCTTCTGAGGCACTGATAGTAGCTACTAAAGTAAGTGTGCTTGAAGAGCAACGCTGCTGATTGGATTTTATGGGTTATATTTATTATTAAAACATTAAATAATAACAATAATAATTAAAAATGTTGACTAGTTAATCGTAAGATATCCAATGGCTTGATACACACTTAAGATATAAGCTAAATTTGTCAATTAATATCTAAATGTATTAATAAAGATATAATAAAAACCATTACATTTAACGCATGTTCTTTTATGTTTCAAATGCATATAAACAGCATTCACAGGAAATAGCCTAGATTAAGGTTGTAAATTATGAAGATTGTAGATGAGTATGCTTTTATTTTGTAATGTTTATTTTATATATATATATATATATATATATATATATATATATATATATATATATATATATATATATATATATATATATGCATGCTTATTAGGAATTATCCATGAAAAGCATGATATATTATTCTTCTTGATTACTTTAACATTATTATGCTGGTTATCAGCATATTTTAACATGATCATTTATACCTATTTAATTATAACTTTCAAAGCTTCTTCTGTAATGCCGGTACATTTACAATAGTGTTTCATATTAGCAGATGAAACAAAAGATGATAAATGGTATATTTCCACAGCTATATACCACCCAGTTATATCATATTCCAGTATAAACCAGTTCATTCAGTCAAACTGATGAGATTACCTTTCGTTCATTTGCTGTGAAACCATAAGGACAATGTTTTACTCATTACAACATCATGTTTTGATCTCAAATGCATGTAATTGGAAAACCGCATCTGGAAAAAAAGAAGAAAAAAAAGAAGCAGAGGGTGAGATGTGCGTCTCAGACTGGCCTGAAAAGAGTGAACCTTTTATTTGCACTAAAGTTCAGCTTGTGGAGAAATGGCTGAGCCACACATTTCAAACATCTATGTGTAGATCATAAATGTACTTTAAATAGATTCTGGTTTTTAGAAGTGGTCATTATTATTATTATTTAAAGCTTAGAGTCTCTTCAAATACACATTTTGTTCTGGGATTTTCGGTCTGCCTTTTCTTTCAAAGGACATTTGCATTACAATGATGTGCTAAAACAAAGTTTTCCATTTGCATTTTTAAAAAGCTTAGATGCCTGAAACCAAAAAAATCATTGTATTTTGCATTCCAGGCCAGTAGTTGGCGATGTCACTTTGTAGAGGAACATGATAAGCATTCACACGTTCACGTTCTTAGTCAGATCGGTGAATATAAACAATCAAGATGGTGTAATGAATCAAAAAGTACATTTATTTCCTCCATCACATTTTATTGATATTAGGGGTGTGATGTGACGATATCGCGTGTCACGAGATTGCGCAAGACTAACTGTACTGTAGTACTTGCACATGTCTACCTATAAACTCTATATATAGCACACATGTGCATAATGTCACCACTTTATCAAAAGTTGCATTTGAGTTATAGTGATAATTTTCCAAGCAAATATTTAGCATTTTCAGGCCTCCAAAACACAATTGTGTAAATTAATGATCAAAATGTATGTAAAAAATCAAGTTTTTAATAGAAAATCTTAATCTACTGTTACCTAATGAAGTATTCACAGCTTAAAATGGGTTTCATGGATTTTCCGTAGACCACACCTAATTTAATAAACCAATGGCACAATATATAAAAGAGATCTGCTAAATGCTATTGAAACTACAATCACGTTTCTCTGTATTTATTTATTTACTTTTTCTTTAAGTATTCTTGTTGAGAGAACAAAAATGCCAAACTGTTATTGTCGAACATATGATGAATGGACACGGTAGTTTTGGTAGTTTCTCTCAAGCTTACGTTAAAGATGCTTATTTTAGATTTTAACCAAGACATTAGTTGCTCTAAAATGGGACTTCATCCTGTCATCATTGGTGCCAGCATCTCCCACTGTGCCAGGAACAGTTTAATCCATTTAGATAGGTCAATATATTTCTAGATTATGTTAAATGTCAGTCTGTAGGTTCACTTTGTTGAGTATTAGCAGAACAGACGGCTTGATTTACAAGGCTAATCCACATTACAGTATGTGTGTAGTTTCACTTTAATTGGATTGTATATCCTGCGAATGCATTGTTGTATATAGTCTTTGTCTGTAGAGTGGCGCACGGTTGGCCTGCTAATCTGTGTAGACATTATTAGGGACCCAGTCTCGTTTATGTTCAAGTTCATATTGAATTTTTTGTTGCTCTGTTCTAAAGTCATAATATGCTCTTAAATTCATTCATTATAGTAAAGGCAATCCTTCAAATGTTTCTTGTGGCATATTAAAAATGATTGAAAAGTCTAAGGACATTGTCTGGAAAAGCGCAGTTAAATCATGCGAAGGGTTTAGGTATTTTAAGGGTCTATATAAACCAACAAAATGTATCTTACAAAACACTGAACAATTATGTGCAGCCTACTAATCAAGAAAATTAATAATTGAAAAGAAAAAGTCAACCAAAAATGACATTTCTGTCATCATTTACTCAGCCTCGTGCAGAAAAACACAGAAGATAAGAAAATTGCAGTGTACTCCATTAATTTATTTCCGATAAATATACTATAAGATAAATATAGATAAATATATTTCCGAAATAAAAACAACATTTTTATATCTGTGTGAATTGTGACTTATGACCATTTCTTAAAGGGATAATCGACCGATAAATGAAAATTTGCTCTTAATTTAGTCAAGTAAATTTAGGCTAATTAATTATTATTACAGAAGATTTGTAGCTGAAACTGTGATCCTTAGTGATGCTCAAAATCCAAGAATCATTAGATGCCTGCACTTTCAGTCAAAAATTAAAAAGAACACATATTGGTGAAACTAAATTAATACATGTGGATATATTTAGGGCTTAAAAAACAAACGAATCAGTCTGTGCAAGACACTGGATTTTATATACAACATTATTACCACAAATGGTCCAATTGGTTGCATAAAGATGTATCAAATGTTGTAAATCTGTCATTCAACTCTATTCGATATGATGCTCACACTCAAGGCTGAGGATTAAAGTAACAAATTCTACTTAATATAAATAATATTCCGAACCTTGCACCTCGAACATTATTTTAAAGCTATTTCTATATTTTGGTTTAATTTTAGTCAATCTGATTCGTGGTTTTATTAGTTTTTATTTTGTGTATAAATTTCTGTTTAGTTTCTGTAATTCTAGTTGGGCAGAGTTAACAGAACACTTCCAATGTTGAAGGAAGTGACATATTGTGTTTAGCACAGCTAACATTAGCTCTTGTGCAATAAAATAAGTGTTTAATAATAAAATAAGTCTAAAATGAAATGATTCTTTGAACAGACACTGAACCGAAAAACATACAAATGTAGCTTAATAAAAAAATGTAAAAATGACTACTTTTAGATGGACATCAGTAATCAAATTATTTGCCTTAATCTAAATAAGACAATAATATGATTAAGGTGTTAACATGAGTTGCTTTTTGAATGTTCCTTTCATGATCCCGTTTTACATGTTACAGCACGTAAGACGATTACCGTCATTGCGTTACCACACTATCCAGATTTCCTCCAGAGAATTTTGAATTTTGGGTGTTTAATTTTTAATTTGTCAACTTAAACTGCAGTTTGGCACTTCTGCAAAAACCTTCTCATTTAGTGATGCAGATGTCTGTGGTCATTCACTAGTAGGTGCAGAGAATAGTCAAACAGCCGTGTGTGTGTAAGGAATATCCTTTTTCAAAACACAGCAAAAATCCTACACAACGGTAATCGTTTGATTGCGGTTTTTACATGTCTGTACTGCACTTCAATAATGCCACTAAAATAGGCATACTTCACATATCTTAATTCGATTTCTTTTTAGTTCGATTATGACTTTTTTCAGATTAAGGTAATCAAAACTGGCTGTTTACATGGTAGACTCTTAATCAGAGTAATTGCATTAAAATCGGATAATACTGTCCATGTTAACTTTCAACATTCAGACAAATGTAAAGATCATGTTTATCCTATTTACATTTTTTGAAAAATAAAAGTTTTTTTTTTTAACATACAAACATGTTTTATATATATATATATATATTATATATATATATATATATATATATATATATATATATATATATAATCATGCATTTGACTGATGTGTTTGTCTAAAAGAGCATTTACTAGTGTTTTGCTGAAAAAAGACTAAGTCCGATTTTCCGTCACAGAATTATTACTTATTATTTCTGAAAATGATTATTATATTTGCAAATTTTTTTTTCAGTGACTGCTGTTAGTTTTTCATTTATTGTGAATTTTCAACTTTTTTTATTTAAGTTAATGAATATGTTTTTTTTGGCCAATAGCTTTAGTCGTAGTGTTTTTGTTTACTAAAATAGCCTTGCAAGGAACCATTTGAGCAAAAAATTCTTCATCAACCTTCTAACAAGAACATAGTCACATGGGGACTTGTGGAGCTGTGCATCGATGGATTTGCTCTTCAGTGTTTTGACTTTCAGCAGTGAACTTTAAACCACACTGAACTAAAGTGATCTTCAACTCTGAAAACCAAACTGACAATTTCAATTTACTAGAACTTCTATGTTAAGCTGCTTTGACACAATCAACAGTGTAAAATCGCTATAGAAATAAACATGACATGTCGATTAGAATAAATTAATCCTAAATTTTCATTTTTGGTTGAACCATCTTTTTAAATACCTCATCTATATCAGCTGCTTACATCAGTGTGTCTGGTCTCCTCCAAAGGGCTTTGTCTTCAGTCGTGGCTTTGGGCGCAAACATCATCTGCAACAAGATCCCCGGCCTGGCCCCCCGACAGCGTGCCATCTGCCAGAGCCGCCCAGATGCCATCATCATCATTGGGGAAGGCGCTCAGCTGGGCATCAACGAGTGCCAGTATCAGTTTCGCTACGGCCGGTGGAACTGCTCTGCCCTTGGCGAGAGGACCGTCTTTGGGCAAGAGCTGAGAGTAGGTCAGTAGGTGCAGCCCCGTGAGCTGTGCTTTCATGTCACATTCATAGTATGTGAGTGTGGGTGTGTGTGTGTGTGTATGTATGTTGTTTTGGCTGGATCTGTTTCCATTAGAGCCCTGCAAAACAAATGAGACAAAAAAGAGGTTAAAGCAGATACAATCAGTCCGCAATTACTTTAGAAAAAATCTCTTTCAAAAAACATTTGAACACACACACACACACACACACACACACACACAAACACACACACACACACGGACAAAAATGGCATCAGTGACTTTCTGAGAACCAAGGAAACACACAGTAATATGCTTTTCTTTAATATTGCACTCTCATATAAATTGCCTTTCAGTCAGAAATGTTTTGTTACGGTCAGGGTGCGGTGCGGGGCTGTGTTTAATCCAATGGTCCTGGTAACAATCACTCTTTTGGGGGTTGGTTGGCCCTACGCAACATAATCTTATTTCTTTTTGTTCAAGGAAATGTATGTTTGAGCTGTGAGTACCAAGCTTTTTATGTTCTGTTGTGCAAACCGCGTGTGTGAGACCTAAAGAAAGCTCATTGTATTTGATTATTGTAGCATGAAAGTTATGTTTTATAAGCAATATCGAGGCCCGAATGGAATCTGCACACTATTACACGTTTCTTGCACTGATTTTGGGAAGAAGGGCTGAAATCTTTTAAAATTGTTTGCATTCCATTGAATTTCCTTTGAAAATCGAATGCTCAAATGTGTATTTTAGGACAAACTACAGGTTATTTAATAGCCATTGTGGACTTTATACTGAATACTGAACGGGTTTTTCGACAAAATCCATTAGAATAATGGTAGTTAGAATTCATCAGTAGGTCCAAGCATGTCAAATTATACAAGGACTTCATAGCATTCGCATGGACTCTTGGCTGGATAAAGGAAATATCCTGTGCTCAGGCAAACCTGATGATCAGAAAATCAGCTTTAGCTATGAGAAGAACCGCAACACTAATGGTCTGTTTCCATCTCGCAGGATGGAGAGGGTAATAATCACTGTTGCTTTTACAAGATTCCCTGCCAGCATCCCTTGATGAGGGATATTATGCTAGAAAAAAGGACAACAGCAATTTCATATTTATTTCCTGCTTATACTGTAGATGCACTTTGGTATATATTAAAATACTGCGGTATTATTGGCAGACTTGATGATTAGTCATCATCTGAAGTCTGGCAATAATGTTTGACTGTAATTGTGAACGTAATGACCAGATTTCAGCTCTTCACAATATGGCACACGTGAACAATACAATACCATCATTAAAAAAAGAATTGATCAATCAACTGACCAATCAACCGATCAATCAATGTGCACCCTTTTACAACAGGAAGACCACATTTTAGGCGAAAATAAAAAGCGCTAAAGAATCCTGGTGTAAAGGGAATACAAACTGAAACTAATTCAGGGAATTTCCAACTGGGGTTTAAAAGTGAGTTCTAGGGAGACCTTTGAAATATTTAATGGAAAATAATGAATATAAATATAAATATTGAAATATTAATAATTTATCACTATTAATGATTAATATTAATACAAAAATATGATAAAAAATTAAACATTTGATCATAATAAACAGCAGATTTTTAAAAAAACATACAAATGTTAACTCAACAGAACCTAAATATTCTTCTGTTAAATTGTTGGGGTTTCTTGCTCTGGGATTCTGATAATTAGGGGTCTGTTTTGTCTGTTGATTGAAATCCCCATTATTAATCCAAAAAGGACCTCCATACAAACAAACAATACACAGACCTTTGTGGCGGTCAGTTCATTAACCCCACTCACCTCTAGTCTTCTCATAAAAGCTGACCAGCAGGGGTCAGTTTAGTCTCCTTACATCCTTCTTGAGATCAATCCAGCTCCCAGAGATTTTCCTGCCCACAGAGTTCAGCTAATTAAACAAACATGGGTCAGTTAATCATTAGTTAGAAATTACATTCTAGTGGCTGCATCTCTTTGGTAATTTAACAAAGATGAAACTCACTGACATGAACTTTGGGGAGTCAATGGTGTCAAAACCTCTACTCTTTTCTTCCTAGGTAGCAAGGAGGCTGCATTTACCTACGCCATCACTGCAGCAGGAGTTGCCCATGCAGTGACTGCAGCCTGCAGTCAGGGCAACCTGAGCCACTGCGGCTGCGACAGAGAAAAACAGGGCTACCATGACCAGGAAGAGGGCTGGAAATGGGGCGGCTGCTCGGCGGACGTCAAATATGGAGTGGAGTTCTCCAGACGCTTCGTGGATGCACGAGAGATAAAAAAAAACGCAAGGAGGCTAATGAACCTGCATAATAATGAAGCAGGAAGAAAGGTATGGAATAAGACAAGGTATCTACATTATTTTTTCTTAATATATAAAAACACTGCAGCAATCTGGGTCCATGTTAATCAAGGAGAGGTGCGCAATTAAAAGCATTATATACTTGTTCGCAAGTAAAGAGATATAACCATTTGAAAAATGTTTACATTTGAACAATGTTTACATGTTACCATCCATTCAACATGGTAAATCACCTATACTAATAGAGAAGACTCCAGATCCAGATCTGTTTTTACATTACTGTGATGGTTTGGTTAAGGGTTGTGATAGGACGTAAATAAAATACTATTAATGAGAAATTTAATGAATACCCTACTGAAAAACCAGCTTAAACCAGCCTAGGCTGGTTGTAGCTGGTTTTAGCTGATCATTTTCCAGACCAGCTAAGACCAGGCTGGAAATGGCTGGAAACCAGCTTGGATGTGGCCAAAACCCCTCTAAAACCAGGCTGGTCAACCAACTAAAACCAGCCAATCAGCTTAGGCTGTGTAGGCTTTTTTTTCAGCAAGGTAATATAAAAAATTAATGCAGTTAATCAGCTATACTAATAGAAAAGACTCCAGATTCAGATCTGTTCGGTTGGGTTTAGAGTTGGGGTAGGGGAAGATGTTAAAAAAGTACAATTAATGGGAAATTTTTTAGTTAATATAAATAACTCTTGTTTAGTTCCGGCTGCGGTCGTATGGCTCTATATGGCTCATGATTAACCATGTAAATGGATGATTACAGCCTTCTGTACCTAGTAGGCCCATATCTATCAGCTGATAACCATTGATAATGCCCATTTAATTGAGTTATACCATTCAAATTGGCTGTTCTCGCACTATTTTGTGACAACATTTTGTAAATAAACACACATATGTGCACCTATTGACAAACCACGAAAACAATGATGCTTTTCACCTGAAAACAGAAGTTTATGTTAAAGTAAAATGAATTTATTTAGTTTTAAGATCTTTTCAGATCATTTCTATATAGTTGTTTATTTTGATGTTGCTTGGTTAGAAACAAACATACGCGTTTCATAAATCTGTTTTAAGGAACTATTAGCTAAAAATTCAAAGGAATTTCATTAAATTCCACAAGTACTTTAATACTGGCAATTCTCAGATTATATGTTGTTATAAATTTCATTCAACTATATTTCATATAACATTTCTTAATTAGCTTCTTAGTTTTTCTGTGTGTGATGAATGCAATTTAAAATTTTTATATATAAATATAAATTGTACTTAACAAAAAGTTTGAATTCAGTAATAACATGATAAAATATGCTGCCATGCAAAACATTTACATATTCTTTCTCCATCAATCATTGCTGAGAAGTTGCTGATCACACAATGCGGTTTTAAATGAAAAGTTAGTACAATTTCTCATGTTCAAACTGACCCGAAATACAAAAACAGTACAAAAATTGTATGTTTTTTGAGATTTAGTTCATAGAAACCATGAATAGTGATACACTGCTTTTAGACAGAGGGATTAGAGGAACATTACAACTGAATCTCAGAAGGAGAAGGAGAATATTAACATTGAACTAAACGGGTAAATGTCAACTATCACGTACGTCTGTCTGTTGAACATATCAGTAACACATCAAACAGCCAAATAGTTCTGCTTTTAACTCAAATGTAACCATATACATAAATGGGGACTTGAGAATTATGGACATTTCTCTTCTTCTTTGATGTGGCCCTTAGGAAGGTAGAGAAAATTACAGGGTATGATTTGGCTAAAACATATTTTTTCCTCTCAGCTTTGACAGATATCTGGCATCGCACATTGAGACATTGCTTGGGACGTATTGAATAATGGGTTTTGGTTCAAATTGCTGAAAACAGTCAAAGTAAAATGTCAAGAATTTCCCTTACCCGTCAGCTGCACGAATTCACTCGCACCACAGATTCAAGAGGCCTCTGATGAAGTCATGCCCATTGTAAAAGATCAGTGAGTTTTAGCAGGAAATAAAAAGCAGATGATCCACATTTTTTCAAATAATGTCGAATAAAACATTCATTTACAATTGTAATTATATTTATGGGCCAAAGCTGAGAAGACCCAATTTGGGATCTGCATCAATGAAGGAAGAAAAAAAAAAAAAAAAAAAAAAAAAAAAAAAAAAATATATATATATATATATATATATATTAAATGCAAGATTAATGTGTCTGCTTCAATGTTACAATTAACTTCTGTGGGAGTTCATGAAATCAAAATATGGGTGAAAAAATATTTATCAGAACATCAATTATGCATAATAAAAACAACATAGGTATGCCTGCTTAATAAAACTACAGCATAGAACAATGTGCTCATACAAATGATTATTATTACATTTATTATTTAATCTTACTGACTAATGAGCAAACTAATTAACTGAATAAAAGTGGCAAAGTATGAAGATTTAAAAGGACAATTAATTAGTATTTTGAGCATAGTTTACTGCAGGGGTCATCAACCCTGTTCCTGAAGGGCTATCTTTCAGCAAAATTCATCTCCAAGCCTGATCAAAAACACCTGAACCAATTAGTACAGGGTTTCTGCAGGTTTCCTCAAGTCAAATTTAAGACTTTAAAAAAAACCTTTAAGACCATTATGAATGAAACTTTAGACTTATAGATGCTGAGGGTTTTTTCTAATGGCCCAGTTACTTTTGTATAAAGTTTTTGGATTAATGGAAGATTATGTAAAGGGGTGTGTTACTCGTTATTAGGGAATTTAATTTGGATTAGGGAATTAAATTTTTTGTAAACATGTCTAAAAGCTATTATGAATTGTATCTTTTTGAAATAAAAAAAACTTAAATATAAATAAAAAAGTTGTGTCGGGCCGATAGGGTGGCTTTACTTGGACATACATTAGGAACATTAAGACCTGTTTAAAATGATTTAAGACCCACAACACAACATTTCGGTGAATTTAAGACTTTTTATGTCCCGCTCTGTAATATCACCTGAAGCAGTACTTAATAATTACAGACATGTGTGTTTGGTCAGGGTTGCAATTGAAATCTGCAGGATGGTAGATTTCCAGGAACAGGGTTAGTGACCCCTGGCTTATTGTGTCACCAAATGATTTTTTTTTTAAAGTACAATTTAATTAAACAAAACACATTTAAACGTAGAGGAAAAAAATCTAACAGAACAGTATTTTACAAAATAACCAAAACACTTCACCGAAAACCAGTGACTCCTGGAAAACTCCAATAAGAAAGATTACAACTAAAAATATCTAAAGGTTACAGCAATAGAACTATGAAAATTGTAGGTTGTTCTGTGTTTATATATATGCTTAAATGATTGTTTAAATCCACCAAGACCTTTCATCTTCAAAGCACAAATATTAAGAATTTTTTGCTGAAATCTGAGAGCTCTCTCATCCTCCAAAGACAGCAATGGTCTAATGACGTTCAAAGGGTAAAAAATGAACCAACAACATTGTCAAAACATTCGATTTGAATCCAGTGTTCAACTGTAATCATACAGAGCTCCAAAAACAATTTTATGCACCTGATCCAAAAACAATCCTTTCACGTAAGGTCAGGGTGCATCTTTACTATAAAAATATCTTAATTTGTGTTCTGAAGATGAATGAAGGTCATAGCAGATTAGAACAACATACAGGTGAGTAATTAATAACAGAATTAACATTTTTGGATGAATTAACCCTTTAAAATACCTTAAGTGACATTTTGTTTCCTACTGTCGCAGGTTCTAGAAGAAAGGATGAAGCTGGAATGTAAATGTCATGGTGTCTCTGGCTCATGCACCACCAAAACCTGCTGGACAACTTTGCCAAAATTCCGAGAGATCGGCTACGTGCTGAAGGAGCGTTACACCACCGCGCTTGAGGTGGAGGCTGTGAGAGCCACCCGTTTTCGACAGCCCTCCTTCCTACGTCTCAAGCAGTCTCGAGGGTACATCAAGCCCACAGACACAGACTTGGTGTTCTTAGAGCGCTCCCCCAATTACTGCGAAGAGGACACTGTGACGGGGAGCGCAGGAACGAGAGGACGCCTATGTAACCACACGTCTCCTCTCACAGATGGTTGCAACCTGATGTGCTGCGGCCGAGGACACAACACTCATCAGTACACACGCGTGTGGCAGTGCAACTGCAAGTTCCAGTGGTGCTGCTTTGTGAAGTGTAACACCTGCAGCGAAAAGACAGAGGTGTTCACTTGTAAATGAAGATGCGGAAAAGGTTATGGACAAGAAAGAAAGGCCAAAAGCCAATGGAGAGAAGCAGAAAGTGCCACGGCTTCTTCATTTTGCACATCAGGCAGTCTTTAGACAAGAAAGGCCCTTTGTTGAGGAAGAATAAAGAAGATGTCTGAACTTTAAGAGGAAAATGCACTGACCTCAGACTGATTTTCTTGCAAATGTGGACACTTCATTTGAGTGCAAGGCTTTCATAGTTCTCAGATTCTTGAGGAAGGTCGCAGGGACTTGATGATGACTTTAAATACCAATCAGGCAGTATAAACTGCGTATAAAAGTGACTTTCTTCTAATTCAAGACAAGAAAACTTGTCTGAAATGCTGAGCCCCTATGGGAGCTCAAGAAGAAAAAGAAAATGTTCGTTCACACTGTATCTGTTTGAACACTGAAAAAAGTATCTTCCTTCTCTTTGGAGAGAAACAAGTTCATACTGTAGATGTCTCATAATGATATGCAGAAGTGTGAACTTCTGGTATCATTGGCTACTGATCTGTTGCTTCTAAAATTCAACCTCCATGTATAAAGAGCTTCTTCTCTCCACCATTGTTTTGCGGTTTATCAATTGAATAGTGATCATTTTAATGAATACATCCTCAGTTGCTGCACTTGTACATGGCATGTACATTGGCCTAATGGAAATGGAAAACATTTGTGTTTTTCGTGTAAAGAGAAGCTTTTTATAGTCCACTTAAGCTGCAATGTATGTCTTATAACGTGTGATGGAATGAAAAAGAGCTTTTAGAAACTCCACAGAGCTGCAATGTGACTTACCCGTTGAGAGACCGAACATTCCCACGAATGCCAGAGACATAGGATTCCACATCACCGGCACGGCGTGATGTGCCTGAGCCAACGGACCATAGAGCTTATAGATCTTGAAACGGTTAAAAGGTCACTGGAAATACTTTTGAGTAGCATTTTTGTTTTGTAAAATCAAAACTGTTTTTACGAGTTGGCAGATATGTTAAGATATATTTTTATATGTAGAGAATATGGCACTTTATGTCAGAGGAAGTACTGATGCTATTTTCCTTGTTATGGTTTTGTATCATTTAATTGCAGATGTAAAGACTTTTTTTATTAATGATTATTTTCAAGAGCTCCGCTTGGAACCATCTCATCTTTTTTTTTTAGACTGGTTGTATTTATATTTTTTTTGCCAGACCTGTACAGATAAAATTGCTAGATGAATAAAAAAAGTAAGTTTGGATCAAATAGATCATATAATTTCATCCTACACACATCAACATCTGCGGTTTCTTCCCAGATGTGCTAACACTTGCGGGAGCAGATACTATGAAACGCTGATTTCGAAGTGACGCAGAGGGTTTGAATAGGCATCCGACCTGGCTCATTCATTGACCCGCCGTATGCTCTCTGCCGTTCTGCTCTTTTTCCTGTGTGTGAAAAGCATTGCAAGCAGCCACCAGAGCAGAAGTAAATGGAAGCTGTTTTGTTAGCCGTCTGAACTGCTGGGTACCGGAACCGCGTAAGCTCCCAACACTATACCCCGGATTGAGCGAAAAGTCAACCCCGATTGTTTCGCACAAACATTTTGTCATTAAAAAATATGAGGCAGAAACAACAGGGTGTGGTGGGGAGAGTAGAGGCCTCCATTGAGGGGTATTAATGCCATGGGGGCGTGTGTGTGTGGACCACTCAGCTCATTCCAGGACAGGATGGGGCGAGATGGGATTCTGCAAGCTAATACTTCTGGTCTGATTCACTTGGGACAAACTAAGTGCAGAACTAGAGCAAAAAAAAGTGGTGTGGGACTAAGAGAGTTGGAAAGAACTAATGACTGGTGTCGTTTGGTGTTAGGAGAGTAAACATACATGAAAATCACTAAGAAAATTGAAACCCGATTACTAAAATTTACTGTGGCTATTTGTGTTAAGACCTATTTCTGTGTAAATTTTGTAAAGACCCAATTTAAATGTTTTGTAAAGTATGAGTATGCTTTTTATTATAAAGATGACATGTTGTTTACAAAATAAATTATTTGTTTTTATTTGTCTTTAAAACAGAAATAAATTCCTGGAACATCATGATATTTGGATTAAAGCAATGGCTTATATTTTCTAATTAATATCATAAATGTCATGTATAAAGTGAATTTTTTTTCACGTATCTCACCAATGCTGCATTTACTTGATAAAAATTTGATAAAGGTACAATAAATACAGTCATACGGTGAAATTATTAAAATACTAAAATTAATCAGATTAATTAAATAGTTAATTAAATGAACTTATGTTCTCCATACATTTGTTGACCCCAGGACTTCACATTCCAAAGCCTATTGAAAGCAAGCCTGAAACCCTTAGATTAAAAAGCATAAATGCTAATCCTAAAGGCTGATTGATACTTCTCTTCTGTGTAAAGCACACATGTATGCTCTGGCGCAGCCTTTGCACGGTCGCCTAGCCCTTGCCATGGCACCTCTCAAAAAATGTAACACATCGCAACGAGGCGTAGCGTAAGCTCTGTGAATGGTCAGCTTGGTAGCGCTGATGAGTGTGGACAGGACCGAGATCCACATGAGCCAGATGGAACAAGTGTTTACAGGTGTCCCATGAAGGAGCTCCAGATGGAAAATTTTGTTTTGCGTTTACCTTATGATTAAACTTTTTGCATGTCTGCTGGTTTGCGCCTCTGATTGAGCAAGTTTAAGCTACTAGTACATTAAGGTAGCGTTCAGAAAAAACAAAACACCAGGTAAGAAACTATTGTAGAGCAACTTTAACAGCTTGCAGAAGTTTAAATGCACAACAACGTGTAAGGCATGCGCCATGGGTCACGCCAACCACTAGCGCAGAAGTATAAACCAGCCTTAACTCTGTCACTACACTTTTAAAAACACACCCGCAAAATTTCCTTGCCTGGGTAAATTTTTACCACTTTTTCCAAGTGCGTTCCACTTCATAAAGTGAGCCAGGAAATCAAATATGGACAAAGCCTCGATCCCTCGATTGGGACAGAGGGAGTGAGTCGGGTTTATATGCCCACTCCAGCACCTATATCTTACCATAATGCAATGTGATCCTCACAACAGTGTAGTTCCTAAGTGCTCAAAGATTTAGGGCAATCTATTTAAATCGTTCTGATTTTCCCCATGTAGTTTCACGTAATTATTGACAAAGTTATACAGATGTTTTCATCTCCCCCATAGGAAGAAAATGTCTGCATGTTCCCAGTCACCTGATTCCTAATCACCTGTTGGTCTTCTCATTATCCCCAGCAAACAAGGCAAGCTCTGTCACTTACTCACTGTCTGGTCTACAGTTCACATCTAAGAATAGCCTGGAAAAACAAGAATTAATAAACACCACCATACCAAAATCCCTTCTCCTAAGTTAGTGATTGCCCTCAAGGCCTAACTAAGACTAACTCCAATGCTATCTACCTCTGCTGCTGAGTTTAGTGTTTTTTGCTTCAAACTTATCTGTATATTGAAAAACAACCCAGCGAAATCCCAGAGGACTCTTAGGTGGCATTCCTCATAACTCTGCTGTCTGATAAAGCCCTGTTATGGGCAAAACCTTAATGTAATGCTAATTATCTCATTATCAATAGGCATTCAGATTTCACTGACCATTTTGTTGAAGTGTTCAGCATGGCCACCGAAGTGGTCTCTACATCTTATCAGTTGTTCCGTCTCGGTCAACGATCATCTATTATCAAGTACACTCGGCAATTCAAGTCACTGGTGGCAGCAAGTGGGTGGAATAAGACAGCAGTCCTCAGTGTGTAGTTAAGGACTTAGCTCCGACATGCGTATAGCTATGGCTTTCTGCTACGCTACGATTGAACTAGAGTCCTTCCTATAACAAGCCACATGCAAACCACAATGTCTAGCTTCCGGCCGTATTTCTAAAACCAGTACCAGAGCCGATACAAATCAATTACAATCAACAATTGACCTAGCCAATAAAGCAAGCCAAAACTGTGACGTTACTTCATCAAATAGCGAGTACTGTCCAAGTATTTTATTCTAAATTTGTCACTGACTCCTTAGATGCTGTTCATTCCAGAAAGATGTGATTCTGCTTCTGCTCTCATTGACTCAGGTTCCTTCGGCAACTTCATCTTACATGGACGTTTAAATAAACAACAATTTTGACCATCATTTGACCATCAACCTCACCGGCTGCTTCCAGTTTCTTCTTTGTGGACAAGCATGGAAGTCTGAGGGCCTGCATCCAATCCCTTTGTCCCAGTGGCCCATGTGAACCTCAAAGTGCTCACAAAGTTGGACCTGCAGAGAGTATACAACTTTGTTCATACCCAGGTGGGTGATTATTAGAAGATGAGTTTCATTACTCCTTCTGGCCTTCATGAGTGACAGACCATGCGGTGTGCACAGTCCACCTCCACATCCACCTTCCAAACTGTATTTTTTTCTTGATGTACAAGTAGTGTCACCTGCTTGACATTCCTACTTGCACCTTCTCCAGTCCACATTTGAGTCAGCTTACAGGGTTATCAGCTGGTACCACTATTCACTAATGTTTTGTCCCAACCCATTACGTCTCCTGGGGGTTTAAGCAGTGGTTTCTAGAGACATCTCCCTGCCACCTCTTGCAGCTGCCCTTAATGGGATACCAAGCACCAATTCTTTACGCTTCTCCGTACCACAGTAACCTGCCTTCTCTGCCTCCTAAGCAGCTCTCCTCAGACTCATCCCAGATGCCCCAGCGGGGCGGAAAAGCAAAATTACCAACTTCCCAACAGATCCCCTGCACCCAAGTTCTACAGGATGGACCGTCGCCATCCACTTGTCAGTCACAGTACTTGTGCTGCTTGGACTCATTAGCCGCTGCCATTCCCTCTTCCCTCTTCCCTGGCACAGTCAACTCAATCACAAGAACCTTCTTGGTTGCTGCTGACTAAATCACCGCATCTTGTCTTAGTGTTGTTTGGGTGATCTCCATTTAAAAGATGAGTTGTGAGTCCAAGAAACCTCTCCCACCCCATTCCAGGTTGTTCTCTCTGTACCTGTCATCTGTTCCCTTGATGTGGGGAGATGCTAATGTGCTGTTCACTTGTACTCTGCATTTTTTTCCAGCTGTTCTGCCAGCTTTCTTAGCACCATTGTGCATGCATTGTTATTGTTGCACAAGATCAAATTTTTTGTCTCTGACCGGAGCCCACAGTTTATCACACGGGGAAAGCCTTCATTTACTTAAGAGTTTCTGTTCAACCGTCCTCAGGATATTACTAGCAGACAAAAGGCAAGACTGAGCTAAAGATCCAAGAGTTTGGCCATTAGCTACAGTCATAATGCCCCACACAGCAGTACAGCTGGAGTTGTTTTCTCATGTAGGCCGAGTACGCGATCTGAGTACCAGATCTCTGTCAAAAAGCCATCAGCTTAACACAATTCCAGTGCATACTTGGAACTCCCTACGTTCCAGCTGTCAATCACTGGTTCCGAGTGACCGAAAGAGCGCAGGATTCTACTTGCATCCATCAGCAACGAACTGTTAAAGACATAAGAGGTTTGCAGATCCTCAAAGATCCGACACCCCTAGTTACCAACCTAGTGACCTTCTGTGGTTATCCACCCAGCATCTATGCCTCTGCTAGCTCTGTAAAAGGATGAGTGCCTGCTACATATGTCCATTCAAAATCAAGAGGCAGATCAATGGGGTCACATTTCAGCTTCAGCTTCCATCCACGTATTCATCTAACCCTTCATGCGTCAATGTTTATCACTCAA